TCCTTACAATCCTGGAAAAAGGCATCGGACACTGGAAACAAACAATTTGGACCACACATTTTTACCCAGAACCAGGGATAATATCCCACGCTCGTTTTGACAATCGGACTGTTGGGTAAACACTGTTCTATGAAATGTCTGTCATTGACTATATCCGTATTTGATTGTCAAAATGAATAATTGATTAAAAGAAATAAAAACTTAGATATAATTGATAATATGCCATACTGAAGTATTTTCCTTTGATCACATGTAGTTGTTCTTATTCACTTTCCTCATGTGTGCTCAAGTCTCCTAGTTTAGAAAATCTATTAATGTGCTTCTGATGTTTAATAAGGGCTGTAACAGTGTTTGTTTGACTATGTACAAGAGCTCATGATGCAAATGTCTAAAGACAGTTAAAGTGAGTTCTGAGTCACTTTTTTTCATATCTGACAAACCAGCCAACCAACATTGTTTCCTGGAAATAAATGCAGCATGCACCCTTTGAAACAGGAAGTGTCTCGACTATGTGTGGGCATATTGGTTTTTCTATTTGGAGGAAACACCAGCACATCTACAGGAGAAGACGTACCTACTGCTATCTGGAAACCATGAACACCACAGCTTGTCACATGATCCCAACTGTTTATCCACAGACGTTCCTGCCTCCTATCTTCATCTTCGTATTCATCGTTGGGCTGCTTGCTAATGTATGGGGACTGAAGTCTTTGCTGCTCAACTGGAAGAAACTGGGAAATGTCAACATCTTTGTTCTTAACCTTGGACTTGCAGACATCTTGTATCTGCTCACACTTCCCTTCCTGATGGTGCACTACTTTAAGGGAAGTATGTGGATATTTGGAGACGTCTTCTGCAAGGTTACAAGATTCTGCTTCAACCTGAATTTGTACTGCAGCATTGGCTTCCTGACTTGTATAAGCGTGTACAGGTACCTGTCTATTGTCTATCCTCTGAGAGTGAAGGGAAGATTAACCACGACTCACTCTGTGGTCATAACGGTCACGGTTTGGATGCTGGTGGGTGTTCAAAGTCTTCCTGACATGTTCTTCCCTAAAACATCAACAAATGTGTCTGAACAATGTTTTGATACCACCTCTGATGATCATGTGGATGATTACCTGAAGTACAGCCTCAGCTGGACACTGATTGGATTCTGTGTTCCATCCCTCGTCACACTGGGTTGCTACAGACACATGATTGCTGTTCTCTGCTACAACAAAAACATAGATGAGATGCTGAAACAAAAAAGCTTAAAACTACTGATCACTCTGATTCTTCTCTTCTCCGTTTGCTACATACCCTATCACGTGCTCAAGAACCTCAACTTGTGGTCGAGAGTTCTGTCTAGACAGAGGATATGCTCCAAATGGAACAACGGAGTCTACATCGCTCATCGGATAAGTCGAGGTCTTGTGAGTTTGAACAGTGCTCTCAATCCTCTGGTGTACCTCCATGTAGATGAAGATATTTCAGCTCAGCTCAGTCGGCTCATACAGAGAGCCTTTCAGTCCCTTTCCCAGTTGACCACCAATACACGGACCGCTCGGTTAACTGCCTTTAGGAAAGTGTGATGTTGTTTTCCATTCATGTTTTCATTTCAGTGCAAGATCCCCATTAAAGTCACCTCAAAGCACTGTAAAAGTTACAAAAATATTGTGTGATCTGAGACCACAAAGTGTTTTCTTGTGTGTTTTAATGTGTTTTTTTTTCTGGTCAAATTGCAGACGAACTTGTGATTTAAATAAATGGAATGGTGCTTATTAATTTCATGAAGGTTTGTGGGTATTTGTTGTTTAGGAAGTCTAAATGCCTGGACTCATCATAAAGAAAAGATAATGTTGTGAGTGTCTGAGATAAAAAAAAAAGAAAAAAACGATTTAAACCAGACATGATGCACATAGCGTGAATTTAACTGATTGACCCAAATGTGTTGCACATCAAAGCAGTTTCTCACTAGCAGCACAGAAAGCTGAGAAATGAGTAACAGTAAACAGATTAGTGTCCGTCCTCACAGGAAACGTTGCTCAAACCTCCACAGTTTCGCCCACTGGCATAGATAATCTGTAATGTTTATGTAGAAAACACATCTGATAATGACACTTTCATGTCAGTAATGACAAAGGCTTTCCTGACATGACATCCCAAAATCACTACATTTTTGTTCGTTTTGTTTTTAGATCACTGGAGTTTGTAAGATCTGAGAACAGCAGCTCGGTGCATAAAGACCATTCTTCTACCATTCTATTGTTTTACTATGAAGGTTATAATAAGAAGGGTGTCGGCTTGACAGAACCTGAAACTACACCACAGATTCAAAAATTGTGATTTGGGTGTTTTTTATAATCAGTCTTAGTGCACTTTCACAATAAAAGTCACATTTCACGCTTCATTTATCACCTGAGATTGAACAAATAAACTTGGAGGGAGAAAAAAATAGAAGAAAAAACTCTGCATCTGTAAGACTTGATTGATAAAGACCACCAGGTTGTATTAATGCAGAATGGACGAAATAAAATGAGACAAAGCATGTCTAGTTATTAGTTGTGGCACTTTCAAAAAGTCATACATTTTTTTCTTCTCCTCTTCACATTCCTGCTTTAATCTGAGGATTTTTCATGTTTCCACAAACGTTTCATATTTTTGATGATCCAAACCACAAGAGTTAAAATCAGATTATACTCTGAATCAAAATTAAAAGGCTAGAGATTATTTCAAAAATTAAATAAACTTTAGAAACATTTGGCACAACGGACGGTTCTGATGACAGCTTGTACTTTTCATTTGACAATCTAACATTTTTAAAGATGGTGAATGACTTAAGAGAACTAAATGCTGTTCCAACCTGATTTTATTGCACAGAGACGTTTAAGAACAGAATCAGTAAACTGTGCTTTTCACACATGGTTAAACAGAAAACAGATGTCTGAGCAGGACGTCTCTTCAGAAAGCCCTCCAGTCAACGTGGTCCCACACAAAACTGACTTTCACTTTCTGCAAAAGAGCAACAGAATAGAAGAGGAGAAGCACCACCTAGTGGTATGAGACAACATGAGACGTCCAATGCATTGCGTAATGTGTGTACACAATAAAAGCTGCAGGTGAAATGCTAAGCGATTAGTTTTGAGATTAGACTCTACCTGGTTCAGCCTGTCAGCTAGAAATCATCATCAAATTTAACATGTCCCTGAATGAACACAGTGTTTCACCGAAGTCTGGTGCTTTAACCACAACACATAAACTGTTAGAAAACGGGGTGTGAAATGAGCGTGAATCATTTTCCTCGCAAACACTGGGGACAGGGCAGCTGTGGCCAGTGTTGGGAAAGTTCGTTTAAAAAAACGAACTAGTTCAAAGTTCAGTTCATACATTTTATTTTATTTTATTTATTTTTATTTTTTTAACCGTGTCCTGTCTGGCTGTGAAGCAAACAGAATTGATGTCTGAATGCTGGTGACAAGCCTTACAGATTTACTCTCAGGTGGAGCATCAAAGCATCTGCTTGTAATGTCACGCATGATTTTTTATTGTTATTGCTTTTGAATGCTTTTTAATTCCGACCAGACACGGAGTCAGAGGTGAAAGAGAAAGGAAGAGACAAAAGATGGGGGGGGGGGGGGGGGGGGGTCCACAATAATGAACAAGAATCTGCTTCTAGACCTGCAGAAAGAGAGAGAGAGAAAAAAAGGGACACAACAACAATACAACAAGATCAAGCTATCACTGCGTCAGCTTGATGGAGAAATATAAAATCAACATTGTTTAACTGAACAATCACACAATAATAAATCACAGTGCATTAAGTGCCCACCATAGCCTTAAGACCTGTGTTGAACGTGCCCAAGTCCATACTTATGAGAGCACCATGTGAGCACCTGTGTGTGTACACGCGCTTGTTTATGTAAGGTTTCTCTATAGGAGCGTCCAATAGAGAGTGTGAGGGACCACAGATCTGCCCCCTAAAGATGTGTAGGAGACGGAGGGAGCTCCAAGTCCCAGAGATCCAGGAGTTGCCCCAGAGCACAGGAACTCCAGGGAGACTGCGACCAGAAAAGCCCCCGCTCCCCTCGAGAGGTGCAGAGGATCGCCCCGGGGGGCCACAACCAGCAGCCGGCAGAGTCCAGGGAGATATCAGCGGCAAGCCCACAGGCCCTCCCGCAGCCTCCCACCCCCTGGCCGGCCAAGCCTGGGACCCAATGACCCGGGACCTGGGGGCGACCACCCCCGCCGGGGACCCAGCAGAACCCAGGGACCCAGACCCCACCAGGCAGCCACCAGGATTGGTCAGGCAGACGCCAAAAATCTTAAACTCCCTGACCCGGGAGCCACGACCCAAGCAGACCAAGGCACCGCACTCCACACCAGGTGTGGCAGGGGGAGGGGGGGACGAAGATCTTTATCATCACAAGAAGTCCCAGGAGAAGGGAGGAGACAAAGGCCCCACCTGACAAACACAGTCACACACTCCCTCCCTCATGCTCACACATGCACATACAACCTAAGACTTACAAAAATGCACGCCAGACACCCACTCATGCTCCCCATACACACCCTATTCACTCTGGTCCCGGTACTGCTGCACATGGGGTACAACCATTACCGGTTCCAAGAGTTCGACCCTTTCTGCTGGGGTGCTGATGAGCAGGCTCCCCCGCCCAACGCTGAGCACAGCAACCCACCACCCCAGACCCCAACCGGACGGCCGGATCTCCCTCCTAGCCTCCAGCCCCAGGAAGCCAAGCGACAACAGATGTGTGCCAAGACCCCTAGTCTCCCTCCGCCTGCTCCAATATGATGTTAGTGAGTGTTGATGAGGTGTATTCCATGGCTGTGGTGAGCGGGCAGTGCGGGCATCGTCTGGCCTATGCCAGCTGATGCCACCATACCACCCCACTTGCACCCACAGCCCTCAGTGTCTAAGTGCAGTTTAAAATTGGAAGTGGGCACCGGCACTTGGGATGAGGCTGAGAAATCCCCCTGCCAAATGCCGTTGGATGTGCTCACTCCCAAGGCCCTACGTGTGTGTTTGCGTGGAATGTCGTTGGTGGAAGTGTTTAAGGTGCAAATAAAATTGGGGGGCAGGTTGCCACAGGAATGCGGAAATGGGGTCCATACTTGCACTCCCTGACTTGTCCACCCCCCAAGGTCCTATGTGCATGTTTGTGTGATGATGTGAGGGAGCAGGAGGAGAGAAATGTGTGGGGATGGGGAGGGATGGTTGGGCAGCTGTGGCCAGTGTTGGGAAAGTTCGTTTAAAAAAACGAACTAGTTCAAAGTTCAGTTCATACATTTTAAAACGAACTAGTTTGTTTCCTTGTTCATAATTTTAAAAAATTTGAACTAAGCTTACTGTTTCAAAAATGAACTAATTCATACTGTAGTTCTTTTTTCTCATATATATATATATGTATCTATATCTATATCTATCTATCTACTATCTCTCTCTCTCTCTCTCTCTCTCTCTATATATATATATATATATATATATATATATATATATGATTTATGAAATAATTTTCCGATAGTTGGCACTTGTTCAGTCCACACTCATAGCCAGCTGCAGTTTTTACCCTACAGTATTTCATCAACATGAGGAAAACATTATTTGAACAGTTTTTTTATGGGAAATTATTAAACAATCTCAGGAAGCAGGCTGAGGTAGCAATCTCAAAGTGCAATATTTAAAGTGCAAAACATTAAAAAATGTATAATCTTTCAGTTAAGTCCCATTTCCATTTTTCTGAATGAACTTTGACTCCTGCACACAGCATAGATGTAGAAGAGTAGATGCCGCACCAGCCGCTACTGCCTATGTTTGGCCGCATTTGTGGGTTCTACTTTTTATAAACTATGGTTACCAGGATGTTTTAGCTAGGCTTTAGCTCCAGAAAAGCTCCGTGGTTATCTGGAGCTAGAACGGGGAAAGAACGCATTCATACACCTGTTCACGCACGCCAGGACGAACGCACTCACTTTTACGTTCGCCAGGCAAAATATAAACAAGTTTGGTTCACGTTAATGAAAAAAATGAATGAACGCGTTCGGGCACAACACTGGCTGTGGCTACAATGTAGCTCATCGCCATCAGCGTGTGAATGTGTTTGTGAATGGGTGAATGACTGATTGCAAAGTGCCTAGGGGGGTTGTAGAACCCTTTGAAGGCACTGTACAAATACAGGTGTTTTACCAATTTAGGGCAGCACCATCCGTGCATAATCAGCATTTTAGTTCAGAAAATTTGTTTGAGTTTTGTTGCTGAGCTTAAGTAAGGTTTTAGTAAGGATTTTATGAAAATTTTTATAAACTAGGCCCATTTCCTTCAGTAGAAACAACCAGGAAGTCACATCACCTGCCCTCTGCAGCTGTGGTTACCCATCTGTGTGAGTACAGGATCTTGTTCTGCAGGGGGGGGGGGGGGGGGGGGATGTTAGAGGCAGAAAGGAAACACAAAGATTACAGGGTCAACTGAGGATATGCAGAAATGGCAAAGATTAGCCAGGTACCAATTCATGTTCAAAGAGTGTTCAAATGTGTCAGTAGAAAACAAGCCGAGTTGAGAGATTCACCACTAAACCACGACAAAATGAGGGTCTGTGTCATACTGAAATGTGAGTTTTATTTACAATGCCTTCATCTGACTTTTTACAGTTTTCAGGTTTAAGCTTCAAATGTTGCACATGCAGAAGTTTTACTGAGGCGTCACATATTTCCAGTAAACACTGATTATCTGTTAAAATAAATCCTGATTGTGTTTCTGAAGGATTGTAATCTGACCTGTATTTTATAAGAGGTTTGACAGTATTCTGACCTCCTCTTGTGGTTGTTTTTGTGCACATCAAATCTATTTTCCCACTGATCCGTTTGTTTTTATTTTGAGCATGTGTGACTGATCTGATCTCCTCTCACCCGCTTTTCTATTTATTCTAGCTTTAAGTTTCTGTGACTTTATAAAACCTACCTTTACAATGTCAGTTCAAACACACTATTCACCAGTGAATGTCTGCTCACCATTATTCTGTCAGAAATATCTCATCCAGACGTCTATTTTGGTCTGATTTGGATCAGAAATACCAAGCGAAAACATGAATACAGCCATTTACCATACCATACCATCTTTATTTACAAAGCACATTTAAAAACGGCATGGCAGCCGACCAAAGTGCTGTACAGAATAAAAAGTAAAAACACAATATAAAACAATATACTGTCAACAATAAAATGCACAACAAGGCAGATAATTACAGTCAATAAAAAGACACATAATAAAATAATAAAAGTCAGGGATTTAAAAATGCCTGGTCGTAAAAGTGAGCCTTCAGCAGCGATTTGAACCGGAGGAGGGATGGTGCCAGCCTCACCGAAAGAGGAAGTGCATTCCATAGTGTCGGAGCAGCATAGACAAAAGCACGCTGCCCCCGCGTTTTGTATTTCTTTAATGGAACACGAAGCAGCAGGCAATCAGCAGACCTCAACGCCCGGTTTGGCACATATCTAGTGACAAGATCCGACAGGTTCTACTGTGCCAGACCGTTCAGGGCCTTAAAAACAAAAATCAGGATTTTAAACTTGACCCTAAAGTTTACCGGTAGCCAGTGGAGCCGCGCCAGTACAGGTGTGATATGTTCTCTCCTAGGAGTGTTTGTTAAAAACCTGGCTGCCGCGTTCTGTACGACTTGAAGCCTGTTAAGAGCGGAGGCAGGTAAACCAATTAAAATGGAATTTGCATAATCCAGTCGAGAGATGATAAAAGCATGGATTACGGATTCCAGGTGTGCCCGTTTCAGGATCGGTTTTAAGCGGACTAGTCTGCGCAGCTGATAAAAACACGATCTGGGCTTGATTCGTTAGGATCCCACCCAACAGCTGTCATACCAATAAAAACTGAACCTGTTCAGCGTATTTATTATAACATCAGCATTTGACAAAGTTATCCAAGAAGCAAAAAGAAAACACTGATTATGAAATTTACAGATACTTTCATACATAAAATGGTCCAAATAAACCATCTCTCAGAATTTTCACAAGTTCTTAACCCTTTGATGCATGAATTATGAAATCTTCAACCATGATTTTTTTAACAATATTTTTCATTCGTCTTTAAGTGTGAATGAAACAAATTTCAACAAATATTTTTTGTAAAATTTTATAATTTACAAATAATTTATTACATGTCCACTTCAGTGGACAGCGTGCATTCTGAGCATGAAA